GTTTGAGGTTACGGATGCGGATGTAATGTGCATGGCCAAGGGATTAGGGCTTGAGAGTCATGGGGTCTCGGACCCAGAGCACCAGTTGCAGGTTAGGACCCAGAGACTCCAATATCCCTTAATTAAGGAATAGACCTTAAATTATAATAGGAACCCTAATACGATTTAAGGTATATTCCTTAATTAAGGGATATTGGAGTCTCTGGGGATCTGGGCCTTTGGGTTTAGGTTTTATAAGGTTTAGAGCGTAGGTTTAGGGTTTTTTGGGGTTTTAGGGTTTTTGGGGGTTTTAGGGGTTTCGGGGTTTAGGTTTTATAGGGTTTAGGGCGTAGGTTTAGGGTTTATGCTGGGTTCAGGAGTCGGATTTGGGTCGTGGGGGGCCTGGTGCTTTGATTCCAGAAAACCTTAAAGACCAACAGACCCTTAACAGTAAAGGCCCTATACCCTTATACTATGAATCCCTATGAGGTATATGAACCTTAAACCCTTTTGGGGTAACCCTAAACCCTAAACCCTAAACCCATGTCGTCTTTAAGGAACTGGTGTCCCCAAGAAGATCAGAGGGCTGTTGGGTTTACGGCTTAGGCTTTTGGGTTTAGGGCTTCGGGTTTAGGGTTTAGGGTTAAGGGGTTTAGGCGTGTAGGGTTTAGGCTTCAGGGCTTAGGGGTTTAGGGCTAAATTGACAGGGCAACCCATATCCGACAGGAGGTCACGAGGAATAGTTAGGATGTGCTCATTCTAACCCCAAACAAGTTTGTTCAGACTCTTTTTGTCCCTAAACCCTAAACCCTAAACCCTAAATCCCAACCCCTAAACCAAACAGGCACGCAGTAGACTATTTTGTATTGAAGACCCCTGGCATCCCAATCCAGCTGCCCGGCTTCCAAGAGACCCCACAGTACCGAGCTAGCACCCCTCATCCCCTATAGCAGAGGGGTCTGAACAGTATGGTTCTCTTCTGGTATCATAATCATTGATATGCCCCAAGACCCCGTCAAATATGATGTCAGGCCCGACATTACATCAAACGTCCAAGGGGATGCGAAACTTTGCTCTTCCAGAACCCCGCAACCCCAAACTCCAAGACAGAAGCGAGGTGCAGCAGCCTTTCGGGGTGCTCAACTCATGGCATCTGAGGGACCTTTGTGCGAGCCCTTGCCTGAGATGGGTTTAGGGTTCAGGGTTTATAGGGTTAGGCTTCGAGTCTCTGTCTTGCCAGACGAGCAGCCGAATCTCTCATGCGCAAGCTTATGGACTTGGTAAGTTTGCACCTTGATTGGTCACAGCATGTTCCAGGTGTGTGTGTGTGTGGATATATGTATGTCTGCGTGTATGTCTGTATGTATGTCTGTATGTATGTATGTATGTATGTATGTATGTATGTATGTGTATACATATATATATGCATGCATGCATGTGTTTAGGTGCATCCATGCGCACATGTACTTTCCACCTCTCTCTCTCTCTCTCCCTCTCTCTTCTCTTTGTCTCTCTCTCCCCCTCCCTCCCTCTCTCGCCCCACATACCTACTCACCCACCTGCCTGCCTACCTACCTACCTACTTACCTACGTACGTGCTGCATGCATGCATACATACATACATACGCACAGCACACATACATACGTACACACATACATCTGTCCATCCATCCATCCATCCATACATACATACATACATACATCTATCTGGACCTACATACATACATATTCACATATGTATACCATGTGTCTACAAACAGCAACATGCATATTAAATATACGCACAATGTGTAAACAGGTATAGATTTACATGCGTATACAATACAGGGTAAACTATCGATCTGTGTTTCTCGAAATCTGCTCCCACCCTCAACCCTAAACCCTCAACCCTAAACCCTCAACACTCAACCCTAAACCCTCAACCCTAAACCCTCCGCCTGCAGGGCCAGCGCTGTTCCCTGGCGCCCTGCGGCCATGATCTCCACCGCTGAGTAGGCCAGGAGCTTCTGGGTCAGCTCCTTGCCGACCTTGCAGGGTTCTGCAGATTGAAGGGGCTTACGTAAAGGGTGTGAGTATATATACATATATATATAATATAAACATAAATATAAATAAATAAATAAACAATATATATATATATGTATATACTATAATATATATATATACATATACATATATTACAATATTTTTGATATAGGTACATGTAGGGAGAGGGAGAGATCTATCTATCTATCTATCTATCTCCCTCTGTCGTCTGTCTGTCTGTTGTCTGTCTGTCCATATATCTGTGTCTGTACATATATGTAGGTGTCCTAGGGTTCTGAAGGAAAGCTTGAAACAATTCTGTAGGGATGCAACACAACGTCTTTCGTCAATGTTGTGTCACAAAACAGGCCTCACCACATGAAGGAATTGGCGGATACGTCCAGGCAGGCCATCATATGGTTAGACTCGTTGAACCCAACACCCGTTAAGGACTCAAGTCTAACTTGTCTTGACGAGGGCTGCTGATTCTCAACTGTCGATGGTAATAGACTCTCTTGACCGAAACCTACCAGATCTTCGATCCCTACAGTTCGAAAGACCCGTAGCTCTACAGATGCAACTTTATGGTGGAGGTTTTAGGGCTTAGTGTGGCCGGACCTCGTCGAGGATCCGCCCACCCTTCACCAACACGAGGCCCGGTCTGCTCTGACTGCTGTGCAGCCGCCGCGCCATCTTCAAAAGAGGCCGCATGGCTCAGACTGGGAGTCTCAAAACACTACGCGCCACAGCTGACACCCCCCAGACCTTCAGTCGCAGACAGGTAACTGCGAAGCTGCATTTTCTACCCAGAACTATGAATATGAGAATAGGCAAGTTCCATGACACTTGACCCTTTTAAAGCAGGAGCCTTTCCTCCACAAGCTCTAAACCCGGAGCCTTTAAGTTCAATCCAAAAGCCAACCTCGTACCGCCGCAAAACTGAAACCCTGAACTAAAATTTCAAGACCTTATATTGTTAGTTACAGTAGACCCCGCGTATGATTCGCGCTTTCATGTTCATGTTCTTTAGAGTTTCTTGGGTAGGCGGATTTGGGTGTGAGCCTAAATTGCAGAGATTCAGGATCGGGGGTTTCAGCTCGCGATGTTATGTTACAAGCTTCGGCTCAGTATGCATCGACTTCTGTGGGCTTTTGATTGAATTTTACGTAGGGCCTTATAGGATTCCGCACAGACTTCATCTCGATCGGAATCGAAGTTTCAAGCCTCAGTCGGCTGCGGAAAGGGCCTTTCTGCCGACGAAGGTTTGGGGCCTCGGGGTGCCTAGGGCCTTTGCGTTGCGGGAAGAGGCTCTCCGTGCAGCTACCGAACTGGCAAAACTGCTATGACCACGGCCGCTAGGGCCGCTAAAACAAAATCCTCCAACCAGAAACGAGGCTTCAGTGCAGCGGTTTCAAGCTTCAGGGCGGAGTTGAGGGTGTCTCTCCAAGCCCCCTTACGCCGAAACCCCCAGCCCTCCTTGGGTCCTTGGCTGGGTTCACTGAGAGGACCGGGAGAGACGCGGTTGAAGGTGTAGGTATGACACTAGCTGCAGCTCCCTGGGAACGGCGGCCCACTTTTCAAGCATCCGCTTTCACTTTTGGTGTCGATTGAAGCAGATGGCTTGGTGTACTCGATGTCGACCGGATGCTGCCTGGGTATAGCATAGTCTCTACACTAAAAGTCTCTAAATAATCTAAACCCCAAACAGATGAAACAACAAAAGCCAACTTAAACAGGCGGCGGGAGTTGAACGCCAGCATAAACGACCTCAAGCTAGCCCGAGCGGACCAGAAAGACACCTCTCCGAGACCGTGGAGGATGCCTCCACGGTATGGCAAGTCCTGCAAAAGTCTGTTCCCCCGCTTTTGCCTAAGAGGTTCTTCTCCCAGACTTGCAGAGGCTTCATGGCTCAGGAGGGCTGGGCTCGTGGAATCAAGGGTTTTTCAGAAATGGAAAGAGGCAGGGTATCATCGAAAGGCTGTCAGCGCAGGATGTATTTCGTTGACAAATCACCTCCCAGAATGCCACGGAAATGTTGTTGACATCAGAAAGTATGGTGGACGTACCCATAACAAACGCCAACACGAACTGCTTAAGCTACTGCCAGAGGCTGCTACGAGTGGACGTGCTGATGCGCAGACTAGTACGACAATTTGTGTGCAAAATAATTACACGCAGTATATAACATATATCATATACATACCCCCTGGATGGAACCATCCTTGACAAGAGCGACAATGCAGCTGTTGACGGGTGATGAGCTGCAACAGATGCTTAGCCCAATTTCGCCTTGCCGTCAAGCTCCCGCCTGGTTCGCAAGCAGCAGGATGACCAGTGGCCCACTCATGGCAACCTTTCTTACAGAGTAGGCAAGTTTGCATACTCCAGATCTCCTAGGGCTCGGAGATAGCACAGTTTGGGGTGTAGGGGTCTAGGTTTAGGGAGGAGGCTGGAGACAGTTTTGGGCGAACGATTTAGGGTTTAAACTTATTTTTCTCTACAGTCTGAGGAGTCTACCCCATGAGTAGAGACGATCCTTGGAGCCTTCGCACAAGCGGCTCCGTCAGGGTGCCCCATGTAGCCCCTCATTCAAGTGTCGCACTCACCCTTTGCAGGTCAAGATACCCTTTCTATGCTCGCAAAAAGATCAAAAGAAATAGCTCCATCATGGCGAGGATGTTCAGATTGAAAAAGGTGCAGTAGTGCGCCTCATTACCAAATTATGGTTCAATACCCGATGACCTTATACACTGTATCTACGTCGATGGTAAGATTCGGTCAAGCCACACATGCGGGGCACAACCCCTTCCTCGACCCAGTGTCGCCATCTTCTGCACCGCCTTGCTCTCCGCAGGAGTTGGCGAAGTGCTGGTCAACGGCGGCTGTGGTAGACCTTGGGCTCCATTCATGCCTAGAGCTTCAGGCTGAAGCAAAGTTATTGTTCATGGTACTGGTCTAGCTCGCCTTGTGCTTATGGAAGAAGAGGGGCTTTGATGTCATCCAGCCTTGGCCGCAGCCGGCCACCTGGTCGATGTGTGCCTGGAGTGGAACCAGGCTTCAGCTTTGTGGCCCAACCTAGTCGGCTGCTATCCGCTCCCGCAGCAAACTTCCAGTTATTGCCGAGGCGCGCTGTTAAGCCAGGATAGACCTTGTGGCCAAGGCTCTTGCGAAAGCCCAAGAATAGGTCAACAGGTCGATCCTCGTATCGGACATCCATGTCTTGAGCCTGGGATTCAGGAAGGAGCCTGCAGAACTTGGGCGTAGGCCTCTACGAGGGGCTCTGATCATGGGAAGGCCATGGGTCGGTCTTGTGTTCTGGTCTTCGGGTTCGACTCTTTCCATGGATTTCATATTGGAGGTTCATGGTAGTTATAAGTGGGGTTATAAGTAGGGTAACTATAGTTATAACCCAAGTTAGGGGACTTATAACCCCACTTATAACTACCCATGAACCTCCAAGTAGGGGCTTGAAAGCAAGCCCTAGACCAACTCGGCTGGGTCTCCATGGAGAGAGACCAGCCCCCCTTCCAGGCTGTCCACAGGACCAGCTGGTTCTGCCTTAGGATCAGATGTCGGGATTTGGCATTGGGTTTGGGGTGTTTGCGGTGCACGTCTGATGAGTCTAATGGCTGTTGAGACGGCAGGCCAGAATCATGCATAGATTCTCGAGTGGACGTGCTCACGTGCCTTTTTGGCTTCTACAGTCGTCACGCGGGAATTACAGTTTGTTCTACCGGGTCATTGCACTGCCGTAGAGACATATACAACAAATCTTGCATCATTTTACTGTATCACTGTATCACCACCCAGGCACCAAACACTAGACTATATAAAGGCCCCATCCAGGATTTGTTCTCGACATTTTGACTTTTCAGCCTTCGGCCATGCGGGCAAAACTGCGGACCTAAGAGAATCTAGTTACGAGCGGTTTAGGGTTTAGGGTTTGGGGTTTAGGTTTAGGACCCTAAACCCTAAACCCTAAACCGCGTTACGAGTATCTTCAGCCTCCTGGAGATGGGGGTTGCTCGGCCAGGGCGGGGAACCCTCTTCCCCATAACTCTAACCCTGAAGCCAGGAGAACCCAAACCCCCAAAATCCTACCTAGAGTCTCCATTGTAGTTCCTTTTTTTGGTTTAACCAATGGAGACTATAGGTTAAACCCCAAATCTTCTAAACATCGCCTGCCCAGCCGATATCGAGATAAAGGGCCTGCGCGGGATGAAGTGCTTCTCGCTGCCCCTCGCGAATCTCCAGCCATCTGCGGCGCCTGTCTCCTCCGGTATAGGTTTTTTTTTTACAGTTGGGGTGACTCTTTTACGTCTGCCCGGAGTAGGCTCCCAACAAGTCACTCGTTTCAGCGACCCGATCATTACAAAAGCCTCAAACAAAAGCCTCAACTATCCCCTCACTCCGGTATAGGGTTTAGAGTTTAGGGTCTAGGGTTTAGGGTTCTTTTGGGGGGTTCTGGATGGACGGAAAGCTTGTAAAGAAGGCTTCAGAAAGGCTCAAAAAAAAGGCTGTCAAGAAAGCTTCAACTGGGATTTTAGCGCGTTAGGGGTTTCAGGGGTAGACGCACACTTGTTAACTTACAAGACTATATCGCGTATGGGCATGCGCCATGTTGATTACGAGCAGCGGTGTTCCATGACATGCACAGTGCTGCTGTCGCTCCTTTTCCCCTTCCTGCTGTTCCTGTGGATGCAGATGCCAATATGGCGCTGTCGCTGCTATTGCTGCTGCTTGTGATGATGCTGATCTTCGTGAAGCTGATTTGACTGTGATGATAGAACTGATAGAAGTCACACTACCATGCAAACTCCATTTAATTAGCAGCTTCACTGAAGCGCATGTGATGTGTTGCCTCCGCAGTCAAGGCAGCGGCTATCAGCCAAAACTGGTTAAATGAGCACTCCGCCGAATGGGATAAATGCTCACAGTAGTGATGGGCGGTGGCGACGACGAGCCGAGCCGTCCTCGCCTTCTTCAGCACCGTCATCAGCATCACCATCACCATCCTGATAATCATGGCTTGTGCTACCACGATCGGCATCATCACCACCACGGTCACCAGCAGTAAGACGCTGTCTTCGTTGTTTGCCACTGAGGGATCCCTGCTATAGAGATTTAATCTGCAAACCAAGTATTTCTGATACATACCTAGGTCGCAAATAGTCTGAAACTTCAAGACTCTACAGACTCTCAGACAACTTCAAGCAGCAGTAGTCAGCAGCTCAAAGACTAAAGGGGCTTTTCTGTCAAGGGATGCTAAGTTTTTCATGGCTCAGTCCTTGAAGGACACCACTGCCAGCACATCCGGCCCACTCCCAGACCAGCTATCAGCTTGAATTGGCAATGACGGGTTTATCCACGCCAAGTCATACTTCCAGGCCCACATGTCGTCCAGGACTAGCTTGGCCTGAGGTGCTTCCAAATCTCTCGTCTTACGCTTACGCAAAGGCTCTCTCGTCAAACCTCTGATAGTCAACTTCGCAATGCGCGGATTGAAGCCAGGAGTGCGAAGGCATGTCTCATGCTAAAACTTCGTCCCTGGAGAAGAAACCTGCATGACTCCCGACAAAAAACATCCAGAGTGTCTACAGGGTAATCTTTTGGGTCGTTTAGGGAATTGCGATCAAGCAGCACCATGGCGCTTCTGCAGCACGCTCCTTGGGAGCTTGAATCTGCCTTTAAGGCCCTTTATGAAGATAAAAGATCTGTATAGAATGCTCCTGGGAATCTCAAGTTAAGGGTACAGGTATGCCGGATTCCGTTGGGAGGGCATGCTCTGTTGGGTCGCATTTCAGCTGAAGCGAGCATCAGAATCCGACATCGAACACATTCTCTGACATCCCAAACCAGCGAACACTCTACCCTAAACCCTGACCCCTAAGCCCAAAAGCCGAGCCGAGTGTGCATCACTAGAGGGCACCATTCAAGAAACCCTGTCTGTTCTACTGGTGGTGGTCTTGAATGACCCTTGATGCCAAGCCCATGTTGTAGGGCTCCTGTATTTCTGTCTCGGCATCAATGCCACGCCGAAATGCTAATACTCCAGCCAAGGTTCTGCACTTGCTTGGAGGCTTCGAATGCCTGCTTCAGAGCTTAGACTTCGGTGTGGAGGCTTCGGGGTTGAATCACAAGGTCACACGGAGAATCTTCCAGATGCCAGCCGTTTTAGTTTAGGGTCTAGGGTTTGGGGTGTAAGGGCGCCTAAACCCCAATGGCTAAAGAGTTCAAGGAGCCGGATGCCTTGATCAATTCGATGAGGCCTTCGCCGTTCAATCCATCCAAAAGGGAGGCTTGGAGAATCCCACCTGTGCTTTCTTTTGGGTTTTGGGCTTGGCGCCTTCCGGTTGCAAGTTCTGCTTTCGCACCCACAGGATTAAGTACGGTCGCCATGCATGCAAGTACCCTAAACCCTAACCCCTAAACCGTTGAGGATGGCCTGGAATAGAATGATGAGGTTCTTGCTGGTGTTGTGCAGGCTTTAGATGAAGTTCCAGCTTCGCAACCGCAATCCCTGGAATTCGGGATACATATTTGGGTTCAAGCAGATTCTAGCAGCCCCGAACCCGCAACCCTGCGAGGGAAGTGGGGGTGTGGGGTGCAGAGGTTGTGCTGTCTTTTGTGTTGGGCCGGGGGGGTTCTGACTGTAATATCGAGCCAGACTGGTCGCTGTCCGAGTTGCCATCCTTTGGCGAGTGCCAAATGGTGGCTTGCGCCAGCCACGTCTGCAGCTGAACTGCGACCTGAGGCCGTAGCACACGATCCACGACCACGAAGTCTTGCTGCGGCAAATCTTGGACCTGTTCTCTGGGCAAAATGCAAGAGCAAACACAATTCAACAACTGCTTTCTTCGTAAGCGGCGGGTGGTTGAAATGGAAAAGATGCTGAAGGCTGCTTCTCCTAGCAGCTGATTCCAGTGCCCCAGCACGAAAAATGTCAGCCAGCCGCAGATCTGGAACGAATGAGGCCCGGTTGCCGGGGTACGGAATGCCTCTAGGAGAATCCAGACCGAGCATCTGCATCTCTTGCGCCTTTTGCCGGAGATGACGAACGGTTTCCCCCAAGAATTGCAGTTGAGCCACATCATGCGGCCTTTTCCATAAGTGATCTTTTCTGATCTCCTCCAAAACTCCTGTCTCAGCATCCCTGACGGGCAATGTAGCCGCGCTGGGCCAGGTGGGTGGGAATAAGCCAGGATTCTGCCCGCTTGCCCCACGGCGCAGCTCATGGTGGGCGAAGCGGCACCACTGCCCCAGCGCATCGAAGTTTTGCTTGAGGAGTAGATACCGGGTCGCCAGCCGGTGGCATGCAAAGATCAGCTCATCCACGGTTCGGTCTGAAAAGCGAAGCTGCCTGGCAAAAGGCCAGTCGGATGGGCCTTCGCTTTGGGCGTTCAATCTTCTCGGTTCATTTTTGGGGAATTCCCTACTTTCTGAACATGTCCCTTCTGGGCTTCATGTAGCATGCATCTGCACAGTTTCTCCAGAAATTTCGAGCCGAAACCCTAAACCCTAAACCCTAAACCCCGACCTGTTCAGCCGGCAGGTCTGCCAGAAAGCCGTGACATTCCGATAGGAGCTCCCCAAGTCCGCAAGGGCCGTGGACGTCAACGACTCGCTGTCTTCCTGGGCATTTTTGGATACGGGTTTAGGGTTTATAGGGCTTGGGGTTTAAGGTTTAGGGTTTAGGGCTTCTAGGGGTTTTGGGTTTATAGGGATTTAGGGTTTAGGGTTTACTACGGCTGCTGTGACGACGACGACTATTACTGCTGCACCTCCTGCTGCTGCTGCTGCTGCAACTGCTGCTACGACTACTACGACGACGACGTCGACGACGACCAAAAGTCTACGCCACTCCATACCCATGGCTGATTTTGGAGGTCCTTTAACCCGTGCGGAAACCTGCCCGCTAGACCGCCCAGGTCCTACCAGTGCATATCAGTATACCATAGCAGATGGATATGATATAGCACATACGAGTCTATCATACAGTAGATTATAGTATACTCGATCTCTATATAATATACTGTAACAGAGTATAGCATACTATCGTAGCTTCTCGTATACTATAGCGAAGGACCAAGATTCTGGGGTGTTGACTTCGGGCACTGACTCGGGTCGAATTCGCCGGTCGCAACGCGAAGTGCCGCCGGTGTTGTGCGCGCAGCAGACCCGAGAAACATCCTGGCCTTGATCCTGCGGCTTCTCCTGCTGCGTGGCTGAGGGTTCAAGGCTTCCTTGGGCTCAAAGTTATAGGACTTCGCAATAAAGCTCCCTAAAATCTCGAGCGGCAGCCCCCGAAACCTGAAATCAACATAACCCATAATCTCCGAAACCTTAATCTCCAAGAAACCCCCGTCCCTGAGAAATTCTCCAAACTCTGAAAAGCTGATCCCGTGTCCTCGCAGCCAGATAGACCGCAGTTACATGGTAGGTCCCAGGGTTTCCCTGTGAAGTACTCCAGTTTCTCCCCCCAGCCCCAGAAAGCATCGCAACCTGGCGTTTCAGCGGTTTTGGGAATCTGGGCTGCGTGGATGGGGAATTTAGCCTCCCGGGATTAGGCCTATAAAGTCTAGAACACAGACTTGAGAGCCACAAAAGAATCTGACAGGATGTAAGGCTGTTAGGAATGATATGGGAGCTATTGGGCCTATAGAGCTTTGCTGCATCCTGAAATCTGACCCCGATGTAGGGAAACTCATACTCTGTGTGGACGAAGGCGCACGTTATACCGCGGTATCCACAGCCTGGTTGTGCTTCATGCGCTTTGCACTTTGAAAACTGTCCTGGGTGCTCTTCACGGTGTCGGCTTTAGAAGGATTTACAGGCTGGGGCTTATCTAACACTTATAGGGTCTAGGGGTTTCAAGCTTTAGCTCCAAGAGGGTTCAAGCCATCTGGGTGTGGGATTATGTGACTCTTGCTCGGAGGTTCTTGTGGCAACACAGTCGCACTCGCGCTGCAACTTGTAGCACCTGTTCCAAACCACAATCTGCGCCAACAGAAATTGGTCAATGCTGGGCCAAGCATCCGTGGTATTTGACGAAGCGCTGATCCTTGGCTGTTCTCTCATTGCAAATTCTCAAGCGACTGTGGTCCCTCCAACCCTGGATCTTCATATACTATATGCCATCGTATACTAAGTGTACACGGCAAAATACCACCATGCACCAAAACATACGATAAAGTCCGACCTCTCGTCTATTCTAGGGGGGGTTTGCGAAAAGTTCGTGAATCGGAGGTTCGAGGCCCCGGGTGTTGCTCAAAAGCCTTGGGTCTTGGATGAAGACCTGCTCGAGAGCCCCAAATCAACAGTGTTTACCTATAGTCTCGATTGTAGTTCCTTTTTGGGGTTGCCTTTTAGGATCCTTAATATAGAATTGGTTAAACCAAAAAAGTAACCACAATGGAGACTATAGGTAGGTTTCTAGCTTATTGGGCCTAGGGTTGAGGCTTGTAGTTTATGGTATGGAGTCTAAGTTTTCGTGTCTATTGGTTCAGGGCCCGGGCTGCTAACCCCGCAAGCCCAACCCCTGCATATGGGACTTTCCTAAAATTAGGGTTTTTTTTTGGGGTCCATATAATAAGGATCCTACTATTTAGGGTACTATATTGGGGTCCCCTGTTTTCGGAAATCCCCAGACCGAAACAAAGAGAAACGTCTTCGATGCTCAAGAGCACCCAAAGGTCTCTACACGCCATCCAGCCCACTGGCCAGTCGTGGTGTCGGCACTCGAATACCTCTTGCGGGCCGAAGCCAGCAGCGTTCCTGACGTCTGAGTCTCCAGAAACCAAGGATTTAGCGTTTGGGGGCTTATCGTCCAGAGATTGGCAATGCAGGAGTGACCATGATGCTTACAGTAATTGATGAGGGCACCCGTAATCAAAATTCCGCCGAAAGGGACCCATGTCTAATCAAGTACTTGCTATAGTGAACTTCCCTATAAAATGATTCAAGTGCAGATGCAAGCTTCACTTCCTTGTAGGCAGCACCTGGCGCAACACTGCTCCGGCAAGCTCTGTCCGGTTTCTGGTCTCCGGACAGCAAACGAAAACACGGCAACGGGAAAGGATACATTGTCGAGTCGGGGCCGGTACATGGCTTTATGCATACACACATATATGTATAAATAAGTAAATGTATATATATATATACATATATGTATACAGATACATAAATATAAAAAAGTACATACATATATACGTATATGCATACACACGGGAACAACACGCAGCAACACAACAAATTGGCAACAGCTGCAACCTAAACAAAGAACGACAAACAACAGCAACAACCACAACAGCAACAACCACAACAGCAA